TTGTATTGGGTCGGGTTGGGCCTTAACTTGTTTGGGTAACAGTAAAAACAAGGCTTCAGCTTGTTTTGGATCTACCCGAGACTGCCCGAAACAAGCCCACCAGAGACAAACAAGAACCATTTGATCTTCTTGCTCCCAAGCCCACCCGAAACCCTAGAGCTCCGGATCTGCAACTGGCGATCGAGTAGTGCGACGCGGACTGGCGGCAACGATCGGCGTCTTCGCCGCCGACGCCACCCCGAATGCGGTTGGCATCCACCTCTCCTATGCCAACGTCGCTTCTCAGCAAGCCCGCGCCAAAGCTCGCAGCGACTTCGTCAAGTCTCGCCTCCGGAAGCTCCTCGACGATTGACCCTCTTGACCCGCTGCCCTCGGCCCCAACCACAAGTGACGATTTCTTTCTTCCGGTGAGCATCGCCGTCTTTCAATTAATCCCCGACGAGCTTTGAATCTGCGGTGTTCCTGCTTCTTCAACGGCATGGTGCTTGGGTGTGTTGGATTGACTCTCTTTTCGGAGTGGAACTTGATTATATCAGCTCCAAGTTGGCTTTTTTTGCTTTTGTTTGTCGAAGAATGGGGAACCCATCTGTTGATTCACTGTGCCTTTCGAGGTGTTCTATGTATGCGTGTTCATCTCATTTTGCATCAGCCGATGTTGCGTGTCATACCAATTGTTCGATAAAATTACTGAGTCAACTGGTTCAGTCCTCGAGCAATGGGGAGGTGGCTAAGATTCAGGGATTCGATTTCGCAGAATGGTTGAAAAGCACGGTTACAGAGAAGGATTTCGTGGTGATGAAGATGGATGTGGAGGGGACTGAGTTCGATTTGATTCCGAGGCTATTCCAGACTGGGGCTATCTGTTTGATCGATAAACTGTTTCTCGAGTGCCATTACAACAGATGGCAGAGATGTTGTCCCGGTGAGAGAAGTTCCAAGTACGAGAAAACATATGGGCAATGCTTGGACCTTTTCACATCCGTGAGACAGAGTGGAGTTCTTGTTCATCATTGGTGGTAGTAACTCTTGCAAATGAGCAACATTATTGCCAATGCTCACCACGTATGTTTTCTTTGATGCTGTGATTCTCCTCTTATAATGGCATTTATTGTACTGCTTCAGTTTAGGCTTTTGTCCTGGATTACTCAATGTATGAAGTGCTGTAGTGAAATAGCTCGAACGAAATCCAACGAATGCATGGTTTCTCTTGCAATCGAATTGAATGTGTACTCGTTCTGCTCATTTTGCAGCTTCTCTTTCCGCTTATGAACTGGTCAGGCATGAATGTGTACTCGTGTGGCCTTCGTTTGCTTTTTTTTGCCAAATCGAACTCGGAATGCTGCTTTACTTCATGTTATGAAACATTTGCCGGATGAGGGACCGAAATCTCCCGAGACAACCTTTGTTTTCGAGCTGGAAAGTAAATATAAAAGCAGAGTTTAGGACTGCACCCTCACAGACAAATGATGCAAAAGTACCACATTTGGGAACAAATTTAGCAGTACAGTCGTGCATGAAATGTGAGGAACAATTCTTTCAAGAGGATAGCAAACCTCTAAACCCAAACCCGAACCGACCCGACCTGACCCGAACCCGATTCAATTGTGCGGCTATATCATGTTTGGGTCTTGTTTCGGGTCGGGCCAAGCACATATATTCATTGTTTCGGGTTGAGCCGGGTATCATGAAAACCCGACCCGACCCGACCCGACCCGACCCGATGACATCCCTAGGTGCAACCGTGTAGGAGCATGCTCGCTCCCTTCATACCTTTCGTTCGTATGATCCTCATAATCACAAGGTCATTTGTTTTTGGAACCACTAGAACCGGAGCAAATTCAACGTCCAAGTCACTTGTTAGAAATATATTATATGATTTTGAGTATCTCAAATATCGTAATCTCGATATTCTGATTATGATAGATATTCAGATTATGAATATCTCTCGGATCATAATCTCGTTATTTTGATTATGAGTATCTCTTAGAATAAGACAATATACTTCTAACACCACTATAATCATGGTTTGCAGTATCAATCTCTCCCTCAATTTGATACCTGGGAAAAGACGTGTGTCTCATCAACAGTGACATTCCGAGATATAAACATTTTTCTAATGGCGAGATCAGAACATTTGTATCCGTGCTTCACATAGGAATATCCCAAGAAAATACATTTTCTAGCATGAGGATCAAATTTATTTCCAGATGAAGAATGAACGAAGCACGTGCTTCCCTACACACGGATATGAGAAAGGTTAACAGATCTGCCAAGAATGATTTCTATTGAGGATTTGTATTTTAACACCTTGCATGGTAGACGTTTGATGAGATAAGAGTTCGTTAGGACAACATTTGACCAATAACGAGGGGGCAAATTCCCATGAAACTGGAGAGAACGAGTTACCTCAAGAAGGTGACGATTTTTCCACTCTGCAACTTCATTCTGTTGAAGAGTTTTAACACATGAAAATTGGTGGATAATTCCCAAACTCTTAAGGTAAGATTCAAAAAGTTGATTTGTGTACTCAGTCCCATTATCAGTACACAATATTTTAATCTTAGCACCATACTAAGTACTAATCATTTTCGTGAATTCTTGGAAAGCACAAAGCATATCACTTTTAGAAGCAAGTATAACAAAGTGCAGCAAAATTTATCATCAATAAAACTAGCAAAAAATTTAAATCCATCACGAGAGTCAATAGGAGCATCCCCCAAAAATCTGAATGAACTAATTCAGACAACTTTGAAGATGGACTGGTTCTAGAGGAGAAAGGCAATCTGTGTTGTTTAGCATAACGACATATCTCACAGGAACTACTATCAAGAGTAAAGGTAGAATAATATTTAGCACAATATCTAATGGATGCCCCATATGCCAATGCCAGAGATGAGTCTCCGCGTCATTATTGTTCCTGGCAATCAAACCTGCACTTTGTAAATCAAGCATGTACAACCCTTGTTGGAATCGACCTCGCCAATCTTATTCCCTGATAAACTGTCCTGAAAGATGACCTTATCATTGGAAAAGACAACATTGCAATTTAGATCTATGGTAATTTTACTGACAGATAGCAAATTAGATGATAAAGCTGGAACAAATAAAACATTTGAGTTGGTGGAAAGAAATTCCACCGTTCTAGTTCCTTGAATAGGAATCTGCTCTCCATTAGCAACAGATATAGATGGGTAATTAAATACGTCACAGAGATTTTTAATCCATTGAGATGTGCTGCACATATGATCAGTTGCTCCAAAATCAACAATAAAATAATTTTTTGAAGTTGTAGATTGGGCAAAAGCATCACTAGAGTTGTGAGCAATGTTCCCCAAGGTTGCTCATAACTCGATGGAGTAACGTTGCTGCTTACCATGAGTTGTTGGAGTTGCAAAGGCAATTTGGCCAGGAGAAGCTTGAAGATCAGAGCCGAAATTAGGAGCACCACTTTTAGTTGCAAGAGCCTTGTCTTTATTTTGTCTTAGATGAGGATGTAACTCCCAACAACCATCCTTGTTGCAGTGAGTGCAGTGAAGCTTGGAATTTCGACCCCTCCTTTTCCTTTTCCACCATTAGATTTAATGCTACTGTTAATTTGAGTACTTTGGTGATTGGGATTGAAATTAATAGTATTAGCTGAACTCTTCATTGTCTCTTCCCCTGACTTTGAGTTTGGATTCATAACATGCCGTTGAGTTTTTTCATGTTGGATAATGGCACAGACATTGATGAAAGATGTCAGAGTGCGGCTCATAAGGATTTGTCTTAGACATCCTCATGCTGGCCAATAATTGATTAACCCGATCTTGCATTTCCCTTTCAAAGTATATGTTCACGGAATCAGCAGGGAAAAGATACTGACGAAGTTCTGACCATTTCTTTCTCATAGTTTCGAAAATGGTTGATTGGGAGCTTGCTCGGTATGAGCAATTTCCTGTTGCTACTCGAAAATTCGAAAGACATTATCTTCATGGCCATTCATGTCTTTAAGAGACTTCCATAGAGATTGTGCTGTTTTAGAGCGAGCAAAAATTTCGTAAATGTGAGGATCCATGAAGATGAAGATCCACGACATGATTAGGTTATTAGTAGATTGTTATTCGGCAAATTTAGGATTGGTGGATGATGAGGCTTTGATCAAACCATTGACATGGCCTAACTTTAATCGTCCTCGAAGGGCAATCGTAACTGCCTAAGACCAAGGAAGATAGTTTCTTCCTTTAAAAAGAAAGAATGTCAATCTATTGCTCATCTCATTTGAGTTAGATCGACCAACATCAGTAATGACTCAAGAGCTAGCCATTATTACAAGAATAAAGGAGATGATCACGAGCTTCTTTGAATTAGAAGTAGAATGAAGTGGCAAATAACAACTTCGATAGCACATGGACCACGCTCGAAACTTGCTCTGATACTATGTTTTCTTTGTAATCACACACACATAAAGAAGGAGAACAAAATTTAACGTGATACAGTCAACCAAGGAGAGAACCTTGGAAGCCTACGTCCATGAGGAGAAACCCCCAATTTATTATAATATCTTGGGGATTTCATTATATTTAAATAAGGTATAATACATCTATGGGGATAAATATAAATATCTATTAAAAAGATAAATATAATAATTATTTTTTTTTATCGATTTAAGTTAAATTTCTTATTAAATTCAGATTGTGCTGATTAGTTGTCCTTATATTTCCATCATGTAGGTGGGACGCGTCCGCTGTCTGAAAAGGATAAGCAACCACTCAATTTTTGTCGTTTACGTAAAAGGTTAAGGTCATCAAGACTCAGTTATCATTTGCAAGTCACAGGTGCTTGTTTTTCTCTCGACCACAAGTATGAGATGTGCAGGAAAATATCACAAATGAGGTATGCAATGACGTAGTTCCTGTGTAGACTCAATACAGAGAGAGAGAAGAGAGAGAGAGAGGGAGAGGCCATTGGCGATGCGAAAGGAAGTCAGGATGGAGATGATGTGAGATCGAACCCAAGGAAAATATCTAAAACAGTCGGATATGAAATATCAATCTGTTGAGGACCATGATCTACAACTAGACCATTATTTAGTTCGTCACACGGTAGCGATAGCTGAGATAGACTTTCCATTCCCAAGGAAGACTAGACTACTGTCCTCTATCAAAATTCTGACTCTTCCTTCCTGACAAAGAAGCAACCGGAAGGACCACCATTTGGAAGAAGTGCCAGCTTCACCGGGCTTTCGGCGCCTTCCTCAACCGACAGTATGCCGGTGTTGAAGTTGATGTCCGTTTTGACAAATCCGGGGCACACACAGTTGACGACGATACTCGGGTACTTCTTTGCGAGAATCCTAGTGTATGCATTCATGGCTGCTTTCGAGATGCTGTAAGCGGGCATGAAGGCAGGCCAGCCTTTGGCTTCGGTCGAACCATCCTTGAAGTCTGCGAGGAAAGCCTTCATGATCCCGTCCACTTTCTCTTCCGTGATGTTCTCGGGATCACTCAGAATTTCCCTGGCCCATTCATTAGACGCTCTCTGGAGAAAAAATCACCAAAGTTGACAAATCCTCAACATAGATCACCCAAAACATATGTAAAGGAGCTTCAATCCAAATATTAGACAGCGCTACAATTGCAAAATGGAGTTGAAGGCTTGAATCTAAATGCATATTATACAAATCCAGAGAAGAAGTAAACAAAAGCAAAAACGAGTGAACGGTTTATGGGTTACGGTTTGTTACTTATCCAGCAATACATTTCTGGGGTAACCTCATCCTGGAAGTAAGCTAATTCCACAAAATGGACTCTTTATCAAGGTGAAGGCCACCTTACGGGGACCACTTTCTCTCGATAGTTGTTCCAAGAAAGGTACATCTTTTGCGATTGATGCGGAAGCCTCTTGGCGAGAACCAGACCTAATGCAACCACCCAGAATCTAGATACCATTTACAAAATTCAAATGGATGCATTCTAAGAAACCATAAACTAGAGAGCGTCAGCATGTAAATGTATTTGTCCAGTAGGAATTTCTCTCATTACAATAGCAAGATGATGAAATATGGAGCACAACTCTGTTTATCTGCTTAGTGGGTTTCATCAACCACTGAAAATCTGTCCCACATACCTGATTAATCTAAGTTTAAATTTTTAACAACCTAGTCTATGACTCTGTGCTTACCTCAATCTTCCCCATGCTGGATGAAACATTTACTATCCTTGGCGAATCAGATAGTTGGAGGAGGTCGATATGAGCTTCCACCATTCGTTTGGCCCCATAATAGTTTGTTTCAATACACGCCTCAGCTACTTCATAAGTTTGGGTCGTGATTTCGTTCCAATTGATTTGGGCGACTTCCTGCATCAAGAAGAAAGTTCCTCATAAGTCCTAGTCAAGTAATATTAGAAGACTAACCACTTATAAATTCATTTATCTTAACTTTCAAAAAGCAGGCGGCTTTCCTTCCCTTAATATGCAATCCATTGATTCGAATGTGATTGTTTTACTCCACTATGTTGCATAAGGAGATACTTCATGCTATACGTCTTCGCATTTTTCACAGAAAAAGGTACCGACATTAATGAGACATTATATGATTTGCAGACTAGCTGGGTTGTTGAGAAACCAAGCATCCTTTACCTGCGCCACGGCAGAAAAAAGCGTGACTCTCGAAAAGTAACTATGTAACTTACTCAAAAATCATTTCTGTGGTTTGCTTGATCCACTTAATTTAAGAGCAGAGTACCACATTGGGTACTTCCAGTTCATAATTCATGTAAACCAATTCTTTTCACCGGGGAAGCTTGCAATTGTAACAACTCCATTGTTATAAAGGGTAGAAAATCAAGAATTTTATAACTTGCCTTGCCAAAACCAGAGGCCCTTAGAGCATCACCATCTATAATGGCTCCAGGAACACCAGCGTTGTTCACCTGCACAAAATTTTCCCTTGTTTATTGCAAGTTTTCCGTATTGGGTTGACAGAAGGCAGGGTAAAAAGATGATCGGAAATGCATAATATACCAATACATCTAGCTTTCCGAATTGGGTCTTGATGAAATTTGCTAGCGCAAAAATGCTAGAGGGATCGGAGACATCGAGCTGATGAAAAACTACGTAATTAGACAGACCCGAGTCTTTGAGCTTTTGAATTGCTTCAAGCCCTCTTTTTTCATCTCTAGATGTTAACACCACCACAACCCCACTTGAAGCCAACTGCCTGCATATTTCAAGTCCAATTCCTTTGTTCGCACCTGTAACGACTGCATACCTAAATATCGAAAAAAGAAGTATAAGAAATTTCTGGAGAACAACATGAACAAACGAATAGATGGAATTATGGACGGATGCATGAATAAAAACCATTATAGAATACCGGTTCGTTGACGCTTCCATTGGCTCCTGACTGTAACGTGAATTGCGTGAACTCTTGAAAAACGAAAAGCTAACTAGCTCTCAATTTTCTGTTACATCAGAGAGGCAAGGTCATAGATATCTTTTGCAAGAGATTTTTTTATGTGGAATTTTCCTCGACCGCAATTATTGAAACTACAGGAAAAATGTCACAAGTGACGTACATAATGACGCAGTACCTGTGCACTTTGAATATAGAAAGAAAAGGAAAAGTGTTTGAAAAAGTGCTAAACCTCTTATGATGGTACCAAGTTAATCCTAAACCTTTTTTTGATGCCTATTTAATTCTAAATCTAATTTACTTATTCTGACTAATTTTGATTAGATTTTGCTGACGTAGAAGCCGGCCGGCTTACGTGGCACAGCCGGCGATGACGTTGATAACTTTTAATAATATTTTAATATTTTAAAAATATTTTAGAATATATTTTTTTTCTTTTCCTTTCTTCTTCTTCCAGTCGGTCGCCGGTCCGGCGATTGACTGGATGCCAAGGCCGGCTAGGGACTCGCCCTCGCCAGCCCAGCACGAGGCCGCCCTCGCGACCATTCGACCTCGCCGGATGGCTGTGAGGGCAGCTTCGCGCTGGGTTGGTGAGGGTCGAGCCCCGTCAGCCATGAGCGATGCCCGACCTCGCCAGATCCGGCGAGGTCGTGCCTCACCCAGCCGTTGGTACGACCTCGCGGCCACTGGTGAGGGCATGGGAAGCCTTGCCAGCGACCGGCGGGACTCGCCGGCCTTGGCCTCCAGCCGGTTGAGGAAGAAGAAAGGAAAAGAAAAAAAAGAAAAGAAAAGAAAAGAATATACAAATATAAAATTTTGAAAAATATTAAAATATTATTAAAAATTGTCCACGTCATCGTCAACGGTGCCACGTAAACTGTTCGGCGTCCACGTCAGCAAAATCCAGTCAAAATTAGCTGAAAGGACTGATTTGACATAAAGACAAAATGTTTATAACTAAATTAGCACAAAAAAATTATTTAAGACTAAATTGACACAAATGTAATAAGTTTAGGATTTTTCTAACATTTTTTCCCGTAAAGAAGAGAGAGAGAGAGAGAGAGAGAGAGAGAGAGAGAGAGAGAGAGAGAGAGAGGGGGAGAGTGGCCCATTCCAGGTACAAAGAAAGCTATTGAAGGTGATAAGAAGACAAGGACACCATCCCCCATTATATTCGATCGAGAGAGAGGGAGAGGGAGAGGGAGAGGGAGAGTGGCCCATTCCAGGTACAAAGAAAGCTATTGAACGTGATAAGCAGACATCCCCCATTATATTCGGGCATGAATATATATAATTCTCGTACTTACATGCGAAATTTCACAGTGAAGTAACTCACCTTTTCTTTTTATTTTGCCTAGCTGTCCGAAATGTTTCCCAGAATTGAGACAAAATCATCAGTTTGTGCAACGAGTCAACTGTTGATATCACTCCCTTTATGATGGAAATTATACTGCAGATTCGTTTTACCAGCCTTTGGAGATGTTCAAGGAATCCATAGAACAGTTCTGTGATGTAGTCTCCATGCATATTTTCCCACTGATCACCAGGAGCACTCTTCAATGGTTGAGACTTATTGAGGACCTTCTGCCTCACAGAGCGAAGGCCTTTGGTTTGTTTTTTGCATCGTGCTTGCTTAAGCTCTTTAGCTGCAAGGAAATTATTCTTACTCTGCCCTAACTCGCTGTGCCGATGTTTCTATACTCGACTAGAGAAGGCGAATTTAGGTCAGAATGGGTGAAGATATTCTATCCTGCATCGTGTTTCCCTCGACGTCTCGACAAATCTTAACGAATGACAAAAGTCTTATTTTTATAAATCAATGATTGAGACTTATTAAGGCACCGAAATGATTATCGTACCAAACAAGTGACCCATGTCTAATCAGCACTCGATATGCCATCTTGTCACAATATAAAATGGAAAAGAATACTAGTTTTTACCACTCAATAGATATGGATGGTAAATTCTGTATGGTAAATTGGGAATTACTAATCTAGCCAGTAGCTATAAGCTAAGCTAAAGCTAAAACCTCCAAATCCCAACTAACATGTGCTATGCTAAAATCTTGTACTCCAACTATGTGATAGCAAACAAGATACCTCGAAATCTGTAATTTTTTTTTGCAGGTAAATTTGGAAGTACTAATCTAGCTACTAGCTATAAGCTAAGCTAAAACCTCCCAATCCCAACTAGCATGTGCTATGCCAAAATCTTGGACTTCAACTGTGATAGCATGTGTTTTTTTCTATAGATCATATTTAGCTTCATTTTAGATAAGACAAGAAGCCACTGTCTGAATAATATAAAACCGATTGTTGGATTTGAGAACGTTGATTACTGGATCTAGATTTAGTTGTTGGTGTTCATGAAGAAAGCCTTGATTCATGGTTAGCGCCTGAAGAAGGTTAAAGACAAAAAGCAGCTATTGAAGCATGAAGACAAAGAATGCCAACAAAGGCCATTGAAGAGTTTTCACAGATTGCTACGTTTGTCTTCAAGTCCATTTAGCGTGTTGACTTTGTTTGTATGCTTTTGTTAACTTTGTGGACTTTCTTGTGTTCTTCTTCATTAAAGGTTGTGAAGTTCAGATCTGTAGACACACCCAAAGCAAAAGCCTCTGCATTTCAATAAAAAAGTTCTCCATCCAGTCTTTGTATGTGCTTTGGCTCCAAATTTCCAGAGTTATCATTATTCTTTTGGTTCCACCAGCCACTTCGATTAATATAAGTCCGTCAACCTAAGCTCTGGTTTTCTCCTACCAAGAAATTAAACGATGGCCGAAGCATCAACCTTTCTTGCTGCCGAGAGGAATGCATTCTGTTCTCTTTGTCCTGTACCTCTGTTTTCCTTTTGCATAAAAAAAACGAAGTCGACTATATGGGTTTAGATTAATTCATGGTTGGAACGGAACTCTTTTGCAGGTATGCAGTCGTTACGGGATCGAACAAGGGGATCGGGTTCGAAATATGCAGACAATTAGCTTCGACTGGAGTGACTGTTGTCTTGACCGCGAGAGATGAGAAGAGAGGCCTTCAAGCAGCTGGAGAACTCCAAAAGAATTCCAGCCTTTCGGGCGGTGCCGTCATCTTCCATCAGCTCGATGTTGCTGATCCTGCTAGTGTCGCTTCTCTTGTGGGTTTCGTCGCTACCCAGTTTGGCAGGCTTGATATCTTGGTAATCGAGCTCATTCTTTCTTCTTATCCTCTCTTCTTAATTTTTGAAATCTTGTGGGAGGACTCGTATTTTTCTCATCCTGAGGTCCAATTGGCTTTGGATAACATCGATCATTTGCAGGTAAATAATGCTGGAATAAGTGGACACATCATGGACTGTAATGCTCTGTCCAAAGCTGTTGAACTTGCTGGTGGTGACTTTGTAAGTCCTGCATCCAAGTTCTTGTTTATATAACACCAAAGAGCTAGATGAGCTGTCGGGAATCCTCGTATGTGATGATTGATGAATCTCAGAGGCCTCTAACCTTTGTGCTAATTAAGAGAGATGGCTAATATATACCCTACTTGGTGCTTTTCTTTGATTCATGGGTTTTTCGTTTTCTCTTGCTGATGTGCGCATTTTTTCGAGCTTCTCTATATCGTCAAGGCACATAAGTTTCATTCCTCCGATTTCAGCCACTTGGCGAGGAAGTTTGGAAAGAGATATCGACCGAGGACTATGGAATGGCAGAAGAATGCGTGAAGACAAATTATTACGGTGCCAAATCCGTGACCGAAGCGCTCCTTCCGCTCCTCCATCTGTCTGATTCACCGAGAATCGTAAATGTCAGCTCCAAGTTGGGGGTCCTAGAGGTAAAAGTAAAACGACAATCCCCTTTTCAAACCTTCTCAGCAAATCCTACTAAAACAACTTAAAAGTTGCAACAATACATGCCGGAAAATTCACTTCTATCCGTCTTGTGTCTACTGGTTCAGTTCATACCGGGAGAGTGGCCAAGGCAGGTATTTAGCGACGTCGAGAACCTCACGGAAGAGAGAGTGGACCGAGTCCTGGAGTCATTCCTGCAGGATTTCAAAGAAGGGGACTTTGGAAAGAGGGGTTGGCCAACCCATATCTCAGCATACAAAGTCTCGAAAGCAGCCCTGAATGCATACACAAGGATCATGGCCAAGAAGCTGCCATCTTTCTTGGTGAACAGCGTGTGCCCTGGCTTTGTCCAGACCGACATGACTTGCAATACCGGACTCTCCACTCCTGCACAGGGGGCTGAGAGCCCTGTATGGCTGGCTCTGCTTCCTCAGGGTGGTCCAAGCGGCCTCTTCTTTGATAGGAAGCAAGTCTACAGTTTCTCGTCTCTTCCTAACTTGGCTTCCCGTGTCGAGGAATGATTCGATATCCTTTCTCTGTTTTTCGTCGATTTTTTTTTTCTGTTTCGTCTTTGTAACAAGCACTTGTTTGAACATTTAGTGGGTAACAACATGGTGGTAGTAAATGAAATGTTTATGAGTGCTTCGATTCTTTCGCTCTAGTAGCTTGCTGCTATACTTATCAAGAGGGGCACGTTCAGGTGCTTCATATAAAAGAAAAGAACTATGCCGATTTGCTTCAAAGCTCCAGATGGAGCGTTTCATTCTATGAAAGAAAGGAAGCTCAACTCCTCATGTGTTCGACCAAAAAAAAAAAAAAAACTCCTCATGTGGGGTTTATTTTATTGTAGTAATTGCAAATCAAGTAAAGGTGACAGGCTACCAACCCATAACAAACAGGATTACAAATATCCATCAGAGAGAGAGAGAGAGAGTAAACTTGGATCCCCTAATTGATGAAATTTATCAGCGAGAGACTTCTCAATTCAGTGATGACAAAATAAATAATTAGTTGAATCCTCGTCAGGCTATCCAACTAATGATGACAAATCAAAGTCAGAAAGTCTAAAATGTCGACCATTCCTTGAAAGGTGATAATAACAAGAAAACGCAACAAATATATTTATCGTTGCGTAAACAATCATATAGTCCTACACTTTTTAGAAAATAAAAAGCTAAGAAATTTTAAAAACAAAAGAAAAAAAATACAAGCGAAAGGGCCTGTGACCACTGCCTTGTCGCCAGTGGGGCGTCAGTGATGACTGGTGACCCTTGCCAGAATCGAGATAGGGCTGCAACCCTCTCCCAAGGTCGGTGCTGTTACCCAGGTTTGGAGGAGGGCCGCAACCCTCAACCAGACCTAGGCGAGGGCCGGTGACCCTCACTTAGAACTGAAAGAGGGTCGTCGCTCGGGGCCCTATTCCAGAGTTGGGCGAGGGCTAGCAACCCTCACCCAGTTTTGAGAGATGGTTGTTGCCCTTGCTTGTGGTCGGCGAGGTTTGTCGGCCCTTGGCCGAGGTGCCGACGACCCCGCCTTGTCGCTGGGGGCGTTGATGACCGGTGACCCTTGCCGAATCGAGATAGGGCCGCAACCCTCTCCCAAGGCTCTGTGTTACCTGTGTTTGGAGGAGGGCCGCAACCCTCAACTGCACCTAGGCGAGGGCCTGACCCTCACTTAGAACCGAAAGAGGGTCGTCGCCGGCCCTATTCCGTAGTTGGGCGAGGGCTAGCAACCCTCACCCGGCTTTGAGAGATGGTTGTTGCCCTTGCTTGTGGTCGGCGAGGTTTGCGGGCCCTTGAGGTGCGAGGGGCCATCGCGCCCACGGGTGGCCTCATTGGCCTCATTCGCGGTGGTTTTTTCTCTATTTTTTGTGTTTTTTTAGTTTGTCCCTTTTTTTTTCAAAAAAAACTTTTGTATTTTTTAACCTAATTTAATTAAGATTTGGTGTAAAAATTAAGATTCGGATCAAAACGACTTCGTTTTAGTGCTTTAGCTAACTTTAATGCCATGTAGGAGAGAGAAAATAATCAAGTAAACCACATCAGCATTTCATTAGTCAAATTGGACGGAGTTAACGGAATGACTTAATTGCACAAATTTAACAATGTTTAGGATTTGATTGCATTTTTTGAAAGTTTTAAGACTTAATCACACTTACACAACAAGTTTTAGGACTTCAACTGCACTAATCCCAAAATTTTAACTCTTACAACATTGATTGTTTAGATAAATGCACAAAAAATTAGGATAGAGGATTGATGGTCCTTGAATTTTTCATCTCGGAATATTTTTTTTTTAATCTAATTAGATCCTTAAATTTTATCTTTTCACATTCGAATTGGACCTTCCATAATGACACAAATAGTCATTGAACTTTGGCCTAATGTGCAATGTGGTCCTTGAACTTTAACCTATTATGCAATGTGGTCCATGCACTTTTATTTTGTTCAATGGAGTTCTTGAATTTTCGGTATATGTTCAATTTAGTTTTTGAACTATATGAAAATATTCAATGTTGTCTCTTATATGGAATTGATGGAAGGATTACTTTGAACATTTTCATGTAGTTTAAGGACTGTATTGAACATGTACTAAGAGTTCAAAGACCACATCGAACAAATTAAAAGTTCAAGGATTATATTGAACAGTATGCTAAAGTTCAGAGACTATTTATGTCATTATCTCAAAACAAGTAGACGGAGAATCTAGGAGGCGGGTCAATTTGACTATTGGTTAATTAATATTAAAAAATTGACTATATGTTAATAAGCTTACTATCAAAATCGGTGTTGAGCGTTCGAATCACAAAACATTTGGCTCAAAGTCTCAGCAACACAAGTGGCAAAAAGATCTTGCTCGTCATTCATTAGTGCCTCAAATTCTTTTCGCCAAAAGCACCTATGAATGGCCATGGCCACATCTTGAATTCTTTCACCTCATACTGAGCACAAAAGCTGCGTCGTTTCTGAGTACATCGCTTTCACTTGGGGTGTTGTTTTTCTGCACTTGTCATGTTCGTGTTTATTGGGCCGAAAAAGAGAGATTGTAACTCATTCAAACGCCGAAAGACAAAGTGGTTACGTTCGTGGGTGCCGAAGGATCTAGGGGTTCTTCGATCTATTAAGGAGTGAAAAGTTTCATAGGTCTTCATTTGTCTTCGGTCCACGAAGCAACTAATGGCAGAGTCTACCAAGAGGTATTCTTTCATGGTTCACTGCATACATTCATAACCATCACCCTCCTAATAATTCCATTTATTTGCTTGTTCTTTATTGTTCCGTAAAATTTACTCTCTTGTGCTGTTAATTCCATATTTTTTTTGGGAATTTTTTTTTGGGTGTGCTTTCAGGTATGCAGTGGTTACAGGTGCAAACAAGGGGATTGGATTGGAGATATGTAGGCAGTTGGCTTCAAATGGAATTGTGGTGATATTAACATCCAGAGATGAAAAAAGAGGACTTGAAGCGGTTCAGAAGCTCAAGGACTCGTCAAGTGGTCTGTCCGATCACATTGTTTTTCACCAGCTTGACGTCACTGATCCTGCTAGTGTTTCGTCCATTGCGAATTTCGTCAAGACCCAATTCGGGAAGCTCGACATTCTGGTATGAAGCCGGAGTCTCTGTCATTAATTTTGTAAGACGTTAGCAGTGATCCAATATGATGAGTTATTGAAAATGTTGAGAGGAATGCTGCAGGTGAACAATGCTGGGATTGGCAGAGTCACTGCAGATGGCGAAACCTTAAAGGCTTCTGGTTTCGGAAAGGTAGCAAGGAACTATTTCAAATTCGCGCAAGGAGTTTTGATTGTCTAGGCATCGCAAAACTGATTAGGATCGAAGTATGTGATGATTACAAGCCCTAGCAAGGAACTATTTCAAATAAGCGCTAGGAGTTTCAAGTTGCACCTCTGCTCAATATTAACGAGTTATTACTTGGCATCAAGCTCAAATAGATTCTAGCCAAACAAGCTTACATAATTAATTTGCCCAGGTTCGTATTTTTTGCCCTTTCTCATAGCTTGGCAAATTGTGATGCTTGGTTTTGCCGGGACCAGTAGGAAGTATGAGGAGATTTCTTCTTGTTGATGCAGGAAGGTGCCCAAATCAATTGGAAAGAAGTATTGACCGAACCTTATGAAACAGCTGAAGCATGTCTGGAAACAAACTATTTCGGGGCGAAACGAATGGTCGAGGCTCATTTTGACCTCCTCCAACTATCCCATTCACCGAGGATAGTGAATGTTTCCTCCAGCATGGGGAAGCTTCAGGTGAGCTTGGATTCAAGTCTGTTCTTGAAAATTTAAAATTACACTAAGCGGTAATGTAGGACACACTTGATGAAACTCGGCAAAAATATACTTTTGAGTTGAGCTCCACCATTCGTGAGCTTTCCATTTCAATAAGCAAAATTGAGATGAGGTACAAAATTGTTTCCACTGGCCCTGTTTACCTTATGGTTTCTTAGAATTTGAGTAAGCAGTCGACCCTCATGAATTTTATGATGGTATCTGCATTGTGGACCATTACATTAGGTGAATCTCGTTCTCGCCTTGAAGCTTCTGCCCTGTTTAGCTTGTTTCAATTGCATCACATACACTTCCTTTCTATAATTATCTTCAGTGAATTGTTTACCTAACGTGCCCTTCTCGTTAAAGATAAAGAGTTCAATTTCGTGGAATTGGCTTGCTTCTAGGATGGAGTTGCTCTAGAAATGGATTGACTGACACGTTATAAACCATTCCCCATAAGCGACCAATTTGTTTTTTCTTATTCTTAATCAAGGAATGTGTATCTAGCTTCAAGTCCCGCTTGCATTTTGTAGTGCTGTTTATATCCCAGGCTGAAGTTCCATTGGGGAACCTATGCTGATGGTTTTGTTAATTTTGGTGAATTTCTTTTAGAGAGTGTCTAATGAATGGGCCAGGGGAGTTCTGAGCGATGCTGAGAACCTCACGGAGCAGAAAGTGGACGGGGTTGTGAAGGCTTTCCTCGAAGACTTCAAGAACGGTTCTTTGGAAGCCAAAGGCTGGCCTGCAATCTTTGCCGCTTACATTATCTCAAAAGCAGCCATGAATGCTTACACTAGGATCCTCGCCAAGAAGTACCCAAACATCATTGTGAATTGTGTGTGCCCCAGATTTGTCAAAACGGACATTAACTTCAACACCGGTAACTTGTCGGTCCAGGAAGGCGCTGAAAGTCCTGTGAAGTTGGCACTTCTTCCAAATGGCGGTCCTTCGGGTTGCTTCTTTGTCAGTCAGGAAGTGTCAGACTTTTGATAGAAGATGATGGTCTTCACACGCCCCCAGCAGATTGAAAAATCTAGTTGTAAATTATGGACCCCAACAGCTTAATAAATCATATGTGACTTCTAGATGTTCTATTGAGTTGGATTTACATCCTCTCCCTTGACTTTCTGGTTTTGGATTAGTTTAATGTGTGACTAAGATCCAGTCCTTTAATCAGCCATTTCTAGGTACTTCAACCATAGACTATCATACAACTTCTTTAGATATATTCAGCATATACATCATTAAACAGTATCCATAAAAATTGCTGTATGATAGCTTGCGAGCGTCCAGTGAACGTAAAGTTCAATGGACGGTTTACCATTTATTGCCTTTTCCTTAACATGTTCAATTGATCTATTTGCTTTGAGCTGGCACAGTAAGGACTTGATTTGAGTTCCTAGAGAGAATCCTGTAGTGGTCATTTCTTTTGAAGAGTGTGCTCCTGGTGATCCATGGGAAATCATGTATGTAGTCATCATAGAACTGTTCTATAGATTGCTTAAATATATCCAAAGTCTGGAATACTGCATCTGCACTATTTTTTCCATCATAAATGCAGCTATATTAACGTTTGACTCAGATGCACAAACCGAAGATTTTGGCTTAATTCTGAGAAACATTTCCGACAGCAGGCAAAAGAAGAAAAAATGAGTTATTTTACCGTGAAATTGCATGTCTATGTGCAAGCATTACATAGATTCATGCCCGAATAAAATGTGGATGGTGTCTTTGTCATTTTCATCACCTTCAATTGCTTTTCTCAGTACCATGAATGGCCACTCTCCCTCTCTAATTTATTTCTCTATTCAGTCGTACCCAACCACCACGTCATTGTGCACATCCCTTGTCATATGTTTCTTGCAGTCCCGATATTTGTGGTAAAAGAAAATTGCACACAAAGCTAAGTAAAGATCAGTCAAACGGTCAGATCAAAATGAACTGACCTATATTGATCCATTTTTATGTAATACGATTTCAGTGACCCATATAAGTACCTGACCCATCCCAAATTCAAGCAATACCAGACCCAAACGGGGCTTTAATTCCAAGCAACTTTTCTCCTGAAAAATAATAACAAAATAAAACCACTATGGCCATCTCTGATGTAGTCTCGCCTCCGTTTGAGCCCGATGACATTGCCTTATGATGTTGGCTAACAATATCACATAGAGGAGAGTGAATAGGTGATTTTGATAAACTTGACAAAAAATGCGGAATTAAAAGCATCAAGTGCGATATAAGTGTGACTGGGTAAAACATAGTATTGGTTTTGGTTACAATGGACAATGCAATGTTCTTTTTTTTTTTTCTCAAATGCAATGTTCTTCTATCAAGTAATAAATTAATATAAGCAAAGAGATAGAGAACGGTGCACTTAGAGCTTTATAGTTATTTGACTTGATGTAAGCCTATGTCCACTCTCCCGGATTAACAACCTATTAGTTGAATTCTACAAGAAATCTTCTTGAAGTTACGGTAGAATGCACCGCGTAGACTCTAGCACTTCTCCTCAAAGCTAGTGCTGCTTATATCCAAGCCGATAGATCTCACTATTTCACACTTGAGTGCAAACTATAACATTGCTTCTTGAAAGATTAAAAATTTAATGCTCTCAGAAGACAATGTAAAGATGCAAAACTCTCTCTAAAATTGGATTTTTGAACTCTTGATCAATCTACTATTGTCAGTGTCTTGATCTCCTTTTATACTCCTCAGCATCCAATCTACCCGTTGGACAATTTTCAAAAAGATCAATTTCCAAACTGACTATTGGACAATTGTTGAGTAGATCAATATAGTTGTTGATGTCGATCAATTGGAATTCCCGTATATTTGGTTGCCGATATAATCAAATCTTTGGTTTCTAGAAATAGAATGACTCGCCTATAGAATGTATCTTGCCTTCAGGAAGATTGTCAATCAATCAAGATATCTTGCGTAATTGAATTTATTCTGCGTAGATAATCCTTATATTGATTGTCAATCAAAATATACTAAATAAGAAATCCATACCAGATCACAAACTGTTAAGGGGTGAGATGGAATATCTCAAAATAATAATCTTGAAGTTCATGACAAGATTTATGTCGCTAGTAGTGTAAGTGTTATTTATGTCGCTAGTAGTGTAAGTGTTTCGCTTGTATCAACAATTCTGGTTATATCCAGCTATCCATTTATTTGATGATATCATACTCTCGCTAGGCTTTTGCTTATATCCAACTTCAGTAGCATTATGCTTATATCCAATTTTCGTAGTACTTTGCTTATATCCAGCTTTCGCAGTATTCTTCTGGTATCCAGCTTTCATAGTATTCTGCCTATATCAGACTTCCTGGTTATGTCAAACTGCTTCCCATTAGGCACTTTGACTACGATAGTAATGTAGATCATGTAGACTGTTCACCTTATCTGGTACTTCTAAGTCTCCACGAACTTTCCGTTCTTCATGACTTATTCACCTCTATAAAAGGTCCATCCAGTTTTCAATAGTCTTTCACTTCATACTTAAGATATCTTTGATATCGGCAAAGCATAAACTTCACTCTAGCTTCTATCTTCTGGTTCTTCCAAGCATATGGACAATCGTAGCTCTACCACGCTGTTCACCTATCAGTGGTACTTCTAAGTTTTAGAGAATTCCTCATTCTAGGCTTGTTCATCTTCCATTCAAGTACCCCTAGTTTGTAAAACCTTCTACGCCCATTGCCTTGTTCACCCTTGATAAAGAACTCATAACCTTAGACTTCCTACTTAGGAGTGTGTAAACAAACCGGGAATTGCTCGGAACCGGACTGGATAGGATAGGATTGGTGGTTCCCATGGGGATCGGTCCGGTTCTCAGTTCCAATTTATTAGAACATGCGAGTACTAGTCCGGTTCTCGGTTCTAGGAGTGGAACCACATACCCGTCCTTTTGGATTGGACCGGTAATATATATAATTTTTAAGAAAAATTTCCAACAAAAAAAAAGGAAACATTTTAAGAAAAACAAAAACTGTAAAATCCCCTAATCGAAAGCTCAACACACATCAACTAAGTGCTCATCTCGTCTCACTCTCACTTTGTCCGAGTTATCTTTCTATCTCTCATTCATGGTCTCAACTCTTAAGCTCATCGCCCATCAACTTACAGCCTCGACTCTCAACTCCCATTAATTCACGGCAGAGCCTCCGGCCATTCATCGCCTCCCTCTCTCGCTCCCGGTCACCTCTATTTGCGTGAAGCTTGGTGGGACCAGTTCTATGGATCCACTTGAGAACCGGACCATCAATCCAGTCTTGGGTAGATCCCTGGAATCAACGGGCGGTTCTCAGTTCTAATTTCTCGGAACCGGTCCTCAGTGGGCGGTTCCCAGTTCCATGGTGGATATCGCCCACTCGGACCATGCTCACCCCTAGTCCTGCTTGGACACCATCTCGGCTTGTGTATCTTTTACCTGATTATTTAACCATTAAACACATTACTAGCCTTTGATTATTTTGTCTTCTTCAAAATATTATAAAGGATTTTCCCAACACCTTTAAGCCTCCATATCTCGCCCTCTCCCCCTTCTAAAACGCAAGTCCACCTAAATAACCTGTATTATGAATTCAAGAAAGAAAGTGACCAATGCCATTGCTTAGCCATTACTGCCACCGTCTGTACAGCGACATTGATATTGTTGAAAGTTTTTGTAAAAAAAAAAATCAAATCTGAAATAAAATAATAACTTAAAGGAAAGATCTTGTTAAAATATATCTCGAGTTTGAGCTCGAAATAAAAATCTAAATATTCGGAATAGGATATTTTGCGGCCATCCGAAATCTAGCAAAGCAAAAGAGACGTGAATTTCCTAATGAAGTTGGAGTCTATGGCTTGAAATAGGAAAGTCCATCAGAAAGGCTAACGTGGACTTTGAGATAGACATTGACCCAATCAACGATGGATCACAGAAAAGAAGAACGTATTTCTTTCCCTTTACAAGTTGGACTCGGTGAAGAAAGAAGACAAAATAGGAAAGTCAAAAGGTCGATTTTGGTTGACCGAATTATCTAGGTTTCCAATCCCATGTTGAGTAGGCCACGTTCTCTTCTTGGGCATGCGTATATATATATTGTGTTACAGGAAGAGAATGGGTGTAGCGCCGCTTGTGCGAGTGCTTGGTGCAGAGAGCTTTCTCGTGAATTCTATCCGGAAGCGCCATTCTCAATGAGTGCTTGATGCGAGTTTCTGTTCGTGGAATTCGTGGAATTACATCGACAACTCAAGTGTTGAAGTTAATTAAATTCTTGTGGTTGGAATTTGTGTATAATTCTTTTGCGAGATTGAGAGATTATTTCGTGAGGAATTGTTGGGCTAAATATTGCGTGAGTTATTGGGTGTAATTGGGGCTTGGGAAACACTTAGAGTATCTGAGTGACTCGAGTGTGGTTATAATCTCTGTTGTATCGCTTGATTTATAGTGGAATTCCGTGCTGCTCTCCCCGTGGACGTAGGTCACTACGACCGAACTACGTAAATCTGGTGTCCGATTTATTTTCTTCTTCTGTCAATTTTATTGTTCGATCGCTTGGCTTCTACAACAATTGGTATCAGAGCTAGGCTTGCTTAAGTTGAAGCGAATCGATGGCGGCAGAAGAAGGAAAAGTGAGAATCGACAGATTTGATGAGAAGGATTTTGGTTTCTGGAAGATGCAGATTGAGGATAATCTATATCAGATGAAACTGCACTTGCCCTTATCTGGGGAGAAGCCAGAGACGATGAAGCAAGCTGATTGGGAATTGCTGGATAGATGAGCTTTGGGTGTTATTCGGCTGACGTTGGCACGTAACGTCGCGTTTAACATCGTGAATGAGAAGACCACTGCGGATTTGATGAAAGCCCTATCGGACATGTACGAGAAGCCTTCTGCGATCAACAAGGTCTATTTGATGCGACGTCTGTTTAACTTGAAGATGAGTGAAGGTGCGTCAGTTGCTGATCATATTAATGAATTCAATGTGATCGTTAGTCAATTGAGTTCAGTTGATATTGACTTTGAAGATGAGGTACGTGCTTTGATTCTATTATCCTCATTGCCTGATAGTTGGAATACTACTGTTACTGCTGTTAGTAATTCCTCTGGGTCAACAAGTTTGACGTTTGATGGTGTTCAAGATTTAATTTTGAGTGAAGACATCCGTAGAAGAGAATCTGGCGAACATGTATCTGCTGCTTTAGTAGGTGAAAATAGAGGAAGAACTGGTACACATATTAGCAGGAATAGTATGAACTCGAATAAACGAAGTCAGTCTAGGACTGATGGTATTGTCTGTTGGAGCTGTGGCAAG